GACAGGAGGAGAGGACAGGAGGAGAGGACAAGGCATAGGAACAGTATCAGGGACAGGGCAGAGGGACAGAGGACAGAGCAGAGTGACAGAGCAGAGTGACAGAGCAGAGTGACAGAGCAGAGGGACAGAGGACAGAGCAGAGTGACAGAGCAGAGTGACAGAGCAGAGTGACAGAGCAGAGTGACAGAGCAGAGTGACAGAGCAGAGTGACAGAGCAGAGGGACAGAGGACAGAGCAGAGTGACAGAGCAGAGTGACAGAGCAGAGTGACAGAGCAGAGTGACAGAGCAGAGTGACAGAGCAGAGTGACAGAGCAGAGTGACAGAGCAGAGTGACAGAGCAGAGTGACAGAGCAGAGTGAGCTAGCTCTGAAGGGTCAGGAGGACACCAAAACTAAGTTTTGAATTGAGTTAAAGAGGTAAGATCAGGGTCAGAGGTCAGATCAGGGTCAAAGGTCAGATCAGGGCTAACAAGCAGATCCACTGTTATTCTCATTATCCACAGACCATCGTTACAGGAGCCAGACAGACAGACCATCGTTACAGGAGCCAGACAGACAGACCATCGTTACAGGAGCCAGACAACCAGACCATCGTTACAGGAGCCAGACAGACAGACCATCATTACAGGAGCCAGACAGACAGTCCATCGTTACAGGAGCCAGACAACCAGACAGACCATCGTTACAGGAGCCAGACAGACAGACCATCGTTACAGGACCCAGACAGACAGACCATCGTTACAGGAGCCAGACAGACAGACCATCGTTACAGGAGCCAGACAGACAGACAGACCATCGTTACAGGAGCCAGACAACCAGAACATCGTTACAGGAGCCAGGCAGACAGACCATCGTTACAGGAGCCAGGCAGACAGACCATCGTTACAGGAGCCAGGCAGACAGTCCATCGTTACAGGAGCCAGACAACCAGACAGACCATCATTACAGGAGACAGGCAGACAGACCATCGTTACAGGAGCCAGACAACCAGACAGATCATCGTTACAGGAGCCAGACAGACCATCGTTACAGGAGCCAGGCAGACCATCGTTACAGGAGCCAGACAACCAGACAGACCATCGTTACAGGAGCCAGACAGACAGACCATCGTTACAGGAGCCAGACAGACAGACCATCGTTACAGGAGCCAGACAGACAGACCATCGTTACAGGAGCCAGACAGACAGACCATCGTTACAGGAGCCAGACAACCAGACAGACCATCGTTACAGGAGCCAGACAGACCATTGTTACAGGAGACAGGCAGACAGACCATCGTTACAGGAGCCAGACAACCAGACAGACCATCGTTACAGGAGCCAGCCAGACAGACCATCGTTACAGGAGCCAGCCAGACAGACCATCGTTACAGGAGCCAGACAACCAGACAGACCATCGTTACAGGAGCCAGACAACCAGACAGACCATCGTTACAGGAGCCAGCCAGACAGACAGACCATCGTTACAGGAGCCAGCCAGACAGACCATCGTTACAGGAGCCAGCCAGACAGACCATCGTTACAGGAGCCAGCCAGACAGACAGTGCGTAGTGCATAGGGTGCCATTTGGGACGCACACAGTATTCCCATTCATATGTCCACCACTCTCAGCAGAGAGGCAGTCTGGTGTGGTCCAGGTAGCCTGGTTCAGCCTGATCTGGCCTGGTCCGGGTCCAACAGAGCCCAGACATAGTGCACTACTTTAGACCGGAACCCTGGTCAAAAGTAGTGCACTAAGTAGTGCACTAAATAGGGAATAGGGTGTTATTTGGGACACACATCACAGCTACAGGTGGATAGACCCCAGCTACAGGTGGATAGACCCCAGCTACAGGTGGATAGACCCCAGCTACAGGTGGATAGACCCCAGCTACAGGTGGATAGACCCCAGCTACAGGTGGATAGACCCCAGCTACAGGTGGATAGACCCAGCTACAGGTGGATAGACCCCAGCTACAGGTGGATAGACCCAGCTACAGGTGGATAGACCTCAGCTACAGGTGGATAGACCTCAGCTACAGGTGGATAGACCTCAGCTACAGGTGGATAGACCCAGCTACAGGTGGATAGACCCAGCTACAGGTGGATAGACCTCAGCTACAGGTGGATAGACCCCAGCTACAGGTGGATAGACCTCAGCTACAGGTGGATAGACCTCAGCTACAGGTGGATAGACCTCAGCTACAGGTGGATAGACCCCAGCTACAGGATAGACCCGCAGTGGATGCCCCGTAATGGATAGACCCCAGCTACAGGTGGATAGACCCCAGCTACAGGTGGATAGACCCCAGCTACAGGTGGATAGACCCCAGCTACAGGTGGATCGACCTCAGCTACAGTGGGACCCAGCTACAGTGGATAACTCAGCACAGGTGATGACCAGCTACAGGTGTACCCATCACATTGTGACCCCAACTCAGGTGTATGACTCGCTAAGTGGATGACCTCACTCAGTGATAGACCCGTACGGTGATTTGACCTCAGCTACAGGTCATAGACCCAGCACAGTGGAAACCAGCGTACAGGTGGAAGTACCTCAGCTAAGTGGGTGACCCCAGCTAACGGTGGATGACCTTCACTTACAGTGGATAACCCCAGATACAGGTGTAGACTCAGCTACAGTAAACCAGACAGGTGGTAGTGACCAGTCAGGTGGATAGACCCAGTACAGGTGGATGCCAGTACGGTGGATAGACTCAGCTACAGTGATAGACCCGCTACATGAGATGACCTCAGCTAGGTGATAGACCCAGCTACGGTGGATAGACTCACTACCCGTGATAGACCCCAGTACAGGTGGAGCCCGCTACAGGTGGATACCCCTCGCTCAGGTGATGCCCCAGCTACAGGGGAAGACCAGCTACAGGTGGATCGACCTCAGCTACAGGGCCAAATTAAAGCACATTGAATTAAGTTCACCATCACTTTGCCCATTATCCTCAGGTTATTACTGTATTCTACTCTACTCTACTGTAGTGTACTGTACTTCCTGGTCTGGTCCGGTCCAAGGACTCTGCACAGTAAACAGAGAAATGAAGGTACTGAAAGATTGCCCATTTTGCTTTGAACGGTTTTCTTTCTCTTTACATTTCAATGGAAACCACTGATACCCTGTAAAAACAAAAAACAGGTGTGTAGTTGTCATGGTGATCTGAGTGGTGCGGTGGTCATGTTTAGCTGAGCTGCTCTGAGAATGCTCTGAGTGTTGCACCGTGATGATGTCACACCATGATGTCACAGAGGAGGGGGCCTGATCATTGGTCCCCCTCGCTCAACGTTCCAATGCTACTTAAAATGGAGGCAGATCATTGGTCAGGAGGATGGTTGCTACCGGCAACCAGCTTCATCAGCCAACCGTCCTTCCCCCGTGTCCGTGATGATACCTGTTAATGGAACCATGTCTCGGACTCATCAGGTGAATCATCTGTTAATAAGTCATCCCACTGAAGAGAAGCGAGTCTACCGGTACATGACGTCAACAGAACACCACCACATAACGTTGGTTACGGAGGAGAGGCTTCAGTTGTAACAACGCAATATAGCTAGAAGGGTCTCACAGGGTGGGTGGGTGGCTGGGTGGTGACAGGGTGGGTGGGTGGCTGGGTTGGTGAACAGGGTGGGTGGTGACAGGGTGGGTGTGACAGGTTGGGTCAGTGGGCTGGGTGGGACAGGGTGGGTGTGTGACAGGGGTGGTGGTGGGTTGACAGGGTGGGTTGGGGTGGTGACAGGGTGGGGTGGGGTGGCTGGTTGGTGAAGGTTGGCTGGTGTGACAGGGTGGCTGGGTGGTGGACACAGGGTGGCTGGGTGGTGGACAGGGTGGTGGGTGGCTGGGTGGTGACAGGGTGGGTGTGGTTGGCTGGGTGGTGACAGGGTGGGGTGGTGGCTGTGGTGGTGACAGGGTGGCTGGGTGGTGGAAGGGTGTGCTGGGTGGTGACAGGGTGGGGTGGGTGGTGACAAGGTGGTGGGTGGCTGGGTGGTGACAGGGTGGGTGTGTGGTGACCGGGTGGTGACAGGGGTGGGTTTCGGTGGTGACAGGGTGGGTGGTACTGACTTGGTGTGACAGGGTGGGTGCTGGGTGGTGACAGGGTGGGTGGGTGTGGTCTGGCAGTGGTGGGGTGGTGAAGGTGGGTGGTGGTGACAGGGGGTGGGCTGGGTGGTGACAGGGGTGGGTTGGGTGGTGACAGGTGTGGGTGGCTGGGTGGTGACAGGGTGGGTGGGTTGGTGGACTGGGTGGGTGACAGGGTGGGTCGGGTGGTGACAGGGTGTGGTGGTGACAGGGTGGTGGTGACAGGTGGGCATGGCTGGTGGGGACAGGGTGGGGGGCTGGGTGGTGACAGGGTGGGTGTGTGGGTGAGGTGGGTGAGTGGTGGGGTGACAGGGTGGGTCAGTGGCTGGGTGGTGACAGGGTGGGTGGGTGGCTGGGTGGTGACAGGGTGGGTGGGTGACAGGGTGACACACTGGGCAGAAGCCTCCCAGTAGTGTTGAGTATCTCTCTCCCGGGTTAGGGTCCAGTCTCTCTCCCTGGGTTAGGGTCCAGTCTCTCTCCCTGGGTTAAGGTCTAGTCTCTCTCCCTGGGTTAAGGTCTCTCCCATGGGTTAGGGTCTCTCCCATGGGTTAGGGTCTCTCCCTGGGTTAGGGTCTCTCCCTGGGTTAGGGTCTCTCCCATGGGTTAGGGTCTCTCCCATGGGTTAGGGTCCTCTAATGCCAGATAAAGGATGCACTGATGCACCATGTCAGCCCACATTACCGTTGTACCCTTTGCCCTTCCAGTATACTTCAGCTCTGTCTCTAAATCAGTCTCTCCCTGAAGGCTTGTATTACAGTAGTCTATTACAACAGTATCATCTAAACTAGTTCATTGTCTGCTGTTGTTTTAAGTCAAAGTGGGTCATTCTGTCCTTCACTCCCAACAGGGGCTAGGGGGGGGGGGGGGCATGGGGTTAGCCCAGCCCAGGAGCGAGGCCCAGGGGGTGGGGTGGGGGAGCTGTGTGAGGCGGGTCAGATGGTGCTCTTGGAGAAGGACACGCGGAGGTGGTGGTTCTCTCCCAGGTCGTGGTTGTGGAGGTCGATCAGGGCCTGGATGGCCTCCTCCACTGAACCCAACTGGATCAGGGCCATCTTACGGTCCTTCCTGAGACAGACACAGATGGACAGACAGTAATCAATAACACTTTATTGATCTGCAAAAGGGAAATGAATTCAAGATCATGAGTAAGTACAGTGAACTACCCAAATAACTATTCTGAATGTTCCCTCAGCTCTGAATGATGATTTTAGACACATTTCTAGCTCTAATCTGTCAAATCTGCTTTTGGAAAAACATATTAGGGGTGTGGCCCAATCCTTCTGAACGGATATTTCTCCAAGTGGAGCAATTCCCATCTAGTGGCTTATACCGGTACTACACCAAGACCACCAGAGAGCTGAAAATACACTGTAAATACTAATTATCCCATAGCACACTACACTTGGCTTTAACCCATAAGAGTCTAAGCCCTTCAAGACCCCTTGAAGTATAAAAATAATAATAATAATAATATTTGATGAAAAATTGTATTTGGCCTTACTGCTATTAGCCCATACCAACACATTGAATAACAGATTCACTACATGGAACAACAGATAGTCCCCCCCAAAAAATCTAAAAGAAGTTTGTTCTGAAGTGTCTGTCCTATATCTGAGAGATCAGGAAACATTATATATATATATATATTTTTTTTAAAAACAACTATTTAACCCCTTATTTTTGGCACTAATCAGTCGCCATATATACTGTAATTCCATTCATTTTTTCAACTGGTACCAGGGACCTTCAGACAAGTCTTGTGAGGCCTGTTGGCGTCCTAGAGCAAAACAACCGACATGTACGTGTTCGTGAGAGTCTCACCTTTCTACATAGGGGACATATTAGTGTTGTGGCTCAAACTGTTCGGACACTACAGACAGAAGTTGGCAGATGGGCTGTACCGACTTCAGACGAGTCCCAAGACGGAGAACGCCATCGTGTTCGTGAGAGTCTCATCTTCCCATAGAGGGGTCATAATAGTGTGTCGGCCAAGACGTTCGGACGTTACAGACTATTTTGTAAGAAGACCAATTTCCGGGACGTCTCATGGTCTGACAAACACCTCTCTAGCTCTGTCACCTTTCACCGCAGATGCGGAAGTGAGACACCAGCGGATGCGGTGGATTGAGACGCATCCCAATGCAAAAAACAGATATCTCTAAATATAGCTTAACATCTCTTAAACGGACAGATTTTTATGGGGATTTTAGTATTATGCTAATTAGATTTCTGCGGGGGCGCGGACATCGACCTTAGGGGTTTAAACAAAAATAAAACATGATGTTTGTCATAGACAGACAAGATTAATATGAGATGAAAGGCGAGTTCCTAACAGGTTCAGGAAGCAAAGCTAAAGCTCTGTGAGACGTTCACAGCGATGGGGGCAGACGTTTTGATCAAGAGAGCCCTTTAGAAAATATGCACTTTTTCTCTAACACTAAACATAAAAATATGTTTTTAAAAGTTATAAAGAAGGTGAAATCTTATAGTTAGTCCTTTTATAATTTGATTATGCTATATTTAGAAAGCATATAATGATTCTTATGGGGATTTGTAATTATGCTAATTACATTTCCACTGGAGCGTGGACATCGACTCTAGGGGGTTAAAAGGTGATTTCGCGTTTTTAGCCAACATTCAAGTTTCAAGTTTTTATTGTCACGTGCAAAAGTACAGTGTTTACTACAAACGAGATCTCTGTGAACGTCGGGGAAATTTTCTTTAAAAGTCAAGTTCGGCGCTCTATTAGCGCTGTGCGGTTTGTTTGAATCCTGGCCTTTGTGTGTTGAGGAAGTAAAGTGTCCGAAAGAGAACGTACTGGAAGAACTTGAAGGCCTTGACTGTGTATCCGGTCCCAGAGAAAAGGTCCTTTAGGATGTCATCTGTTATAGATGGACTGTTGGTGGAGAGGAGTGGGGGAAACAAAAGAACAGTGTTAGACATGAGCTCTGAACAAACAGGCCCTTAACTATTCCTTCATCTGATGATACCTCTTGTGGTAGTATCCTACTGCAGACATAGAGCTGCCACATGGAGTACAATGTGGGAGTACAGCTGGAAGAGCATGCTACAGGAAGACAGCTAAAGGGGAACTTTCTTGTGACAGACATTATCATAAATGTTCGCTGTTTAAGATTTAGACGCATCCATCCCCAGAAGTAAACAGAGTAGCTAGATAGTGTTGGAGAGGGGGGAGGGAGGGATGCATAGTTGGAGAGGTGGAGGAGGAGGAGGAGGTTAGTTGGAGAGGGGAGGGGAGGGGGGGGGGGTATGTGGGGGTGGAGGGGGGAGGAGGAGGATGGGGAAAGGGGGGGGGAGGGGGGGGTAAGTTGGAGAGGTGGAGGAGGAGGTATAGTTGGGAGAGGGGGGGAGGGGGATAGTTGGAGAGGGGAGGAGAAAGTTAGGGGGGAGAGGGGAGGGGGAGGGGGAGGAGGAGGTATAGTTGGAGAGGGGAGGGGGGGGAGGGAGGAGGGAGGAATTTTGGGAGGGGGGGGGGGGGAGGGAGGTTATTTGGGGGGGTGGGGGAGGGAGGAGGGAGGAGGGGGGGTTTATAGTTGGAGGGGGGGAGGGGAGGTATGGTGGGGGGTGGAGGAGGGGGGGGATAGTTGGAGAGGTGGAGGAGGGAGGAGGGGGTTGGGGAGAGGGGGAGAGGGGGTATTTTGGAGAGTGGAGGAGGGGGGGGATAGTTGGAGGGGGGGGGGGGGGGAGGAGGGAGGAGGGAGGTTATGTGGAGAGGGGGGGGAAAGGAAGTATAGTTGGGAGGGGAGGAGGAGGGGGAGGTTGTTGGGAGGGGGAGGGGGGGGAGGGGGGGGGTATAGTTGGAGAGGTGGGGGGGGGGGAGGAGGAGGTATAGTTGGAGAGGTGGAGGAGGAGGGGAGGTATAGGGGGAGAGGTGGGGGATATTTGGAGAGGTGGAGGGGGGAGGTATATTTTGGAGGGGGTGGAGGAGGGATTTTATATTGGAGAGGTGGAGGGGGGAGGAGGGGTTTAGTTGGGAGGTGGAGGAGGGGTAAGGGGGGGGGGGAGGGGGGGAGGGGGGAGGGGGTAATTTTGAGAGGGGAGGAGGAGGATAGTTGGAGAGGTGGAGGAGGGGGGGAAATAGTGGAGAGGTGGAGGAGGGAGGATAGTTGGAGGGGAGGGAGGGGGGGGGGTATAGGGGGAGGGTGGAGGAGGAGGTTAGTTGGGAGGGGGAGGGGGGAGGAGGGGGTAATTTGGAGAGGTGGAGGTATAGTTGGAGAGGTGGAGGGGGGGTATGGGTTGGAGGGGTTTGGAGGGGAGTATTTTGGAAGGGTGGAGGTATAGTTGGAGAGGGGGAGGAGGGGAGGAAATTTTGGAGGGGGGGGAGGAGGAGGTAAGTTGGGGGGGGTGGGGGTTTTTGGGAGAGGTGGAGGAGGAGGGTATAGTTGAGAGGGGAGGAGGGAGGGGGGGGGGGGTTTTAGTGGAGAGGGGGAGGGGGGAGGAGGGGGATTTGGGAGAGGGGGAGGAGGGGGGTTAGTTGGGAGGTGGAGGGGGGGAGGGGGAAGGGTGGGAAGGTGGAGGAGGGGGAGGGGGTTTTATGGAGAGGGGGGGAGGGGGTTTTAATATTTGGGAGAGGGGGGAGGAGGTTGTTGGAGGGGTGGAGGAGGAGGTATAGTTGGAGAGGTGGAGGGGGGTATAGTGGAGAGGGGGGGGGAGGGGGGGGGGTTTAAAAGTGGAGAGGTGGGGGGAGGAGGTTATTTGGAGAGGTGGAGGGGGAGGAGGAGGATATTTGGAGAGGGGGAGGGGAGGTAAGTGGGGTGGAGGAGGGAGGGGAGGTATATTTGGGAGGGGGGAGGAGGGGAGGTTATTTGGGGGGAGGTGGAGGGGAGGAGGGTTATTGGAGGGGTGGAGGGGGGGAAAGGGGGTTAGTGGAGGGGTGGAGGAGGGGGAGGGGAGGTAATTTGGGAGGTGGAGGGGGGAGGAAAGTTGGAGAGGTGGGGGGGAAGGTTAGTTGGGGAGGGGTGGAGGAGGAGGTATTGGAGAGGTGGGGAGGGGGGGGGGATATATTTGGGAGAGGGGGAGGAGGGGTATATTTGGAGAGGTGGGGGGAGGGGAGGAGGAGGTATAGTTGGAGAGGTGGAGGAGGAGGTATAGTTGGAGGGGGGGGGGAAATTTTGGAGAGGTTTTGGGAGGAGGAGGATAGTGGAGAGGTGGAGGAGGGGGTTTATGTTGGGAGGGGGGGGTTTTATGTTGGGGGGGAGGTGGGGGAGGTTAGTTGGAGAGGTGGAGGAGGAGGTATATTGGAGAGGTGGAGGGGGGGAGGTTTTTGGAAGAGGTGGAGGGGGAGGGAGGAGGTTAGTTGGAAGGTGGGGGTTAAGTTGGAGGGGGGAGGAGGGGTATATTTGGAGAGGGGAGGAGGGGGGTTAGTTGGAGGGTGGGGGGAGGTATATTTGGAGGGTGGGGGGGGGAGGGGAGGTATAGTTGGAGAGGTGGAGGAGGGGGGGGGGGGGGTTATTTGGGGGTGGAGGGGGAGGAGGAGGAATTTGGAGAGGGGGAGGAGGGGGATAGTGGAGAGGGGAGGTTTTATTTGGGAGGTGGAGGGGGAGGTATAGTTGGAGAGGTGGGGGAGGAGGTTATAGTGGAGAGGTGGGGAGGGAGGGGGAGGTATTTGGGAGGGGAGGAGGGAGGGGGGGGAATTTGGGAGGGGAGGAGGGGGGGTTTTAAATTTTGGAGAGGGGAGGAGGAGGTATATTTGGAGAGGGGGGAGGGGGATAGTTGGGAGAGGGGAGGAGGGGGGGGCATATGGAGGGGGTGGAGGGGGGGGAGGAGGAGGTTATTTGGAGAGGGGGGAGGGAGGAGGGGGGGGTTTTATTTTGGAAGGTGGAGGAGGGAGGAGGAGGTATAGTTGGAGAGGTGGAGGAGGAGGTATAGTTGGAGAGGTGGAGGAGGGGGGTTTTAGTTGGAGAGGTGGAGGGGGGAGGGAGGCTATTTTGGAGAGGGGGAGGGGGGAGGAGGATATATTGGAGAGGTGGAGGAGGGGAGGAGGTTTTAGTTGGAGAGGGGAGGAGGGGGGGGGAGGGGGGTTTAGTTGGAAGGGGAGGAGGGAGGAGGGGGTAAGTGGAGAGGTGGAGGGGGGAGGAGGGGGGTATAGTTGGAGAGGGGGGGAGGAGGTTATATTTGGGAGGGGTGGAGGAGGAGGATAGGGAGAAGGGGGGGGGAGGAGGGGAGGGATAGTTGGAGAGGGGGGAGGAGGATTTTGGAAAAAAAGGGAGGGGGGGAGGAGGGAGGTTAGGGAGAGGGGGAGGAGGGAGGTAAAGTTGGAGAGGTGGGGGGAGGGGGGAGGAGGATATTTGGAGAGGTGGGGAGGGGGGAGGAGGTATAGTTGGAGAGGGGAGGAGAGGTAATTTGGGAGGGTGGAGGAGGGGGGGGAGGTATAGTTGGGAGGGGGGGGGGAAGGGAGGGGAGGATAGTTGGAGGGGGAGGAGGAGGTATATTTGGAGAGGTGGAGGAGGGGGTTTTATAGTTGGAAGGGGTGGAGGGGGGGGTATAGTTGGGAGGGGGAGGAGGGAGGAGGGGGGTATAGTTGGAGAGGGGGGGGAGGGGTATAGTTGGAGGAGGGGGAGGGGGGGGTTTAATTTCGAGGGGGGAGGGGGAGGGAGGAGGAGGATAGTTGGAGGGGTGGAGGAGGAGGAAGTTGGAGAGGTGGAGGAGGGGTATAGTTGGAGAGGTGGGAGGAGGGTATTTGGAGAGGTGGAGGGGAGGTATAGGGGAGAGGTGGAAGGAGGGGATATTTGGAGGGTGGAGGAGGGAGGTATAGTGGAGGGTGGAGGAGGGAGGGTAAGTTGGAGAGGTGGAGGGGGAGGAGGAGGAATTTTGGAGGGGGGGAGGAGGATTTTTAGTTGGGAGGTGGGGGAGGGAGGGGAAAGGAAGTGGAGGGGGGTGGAGGAGGGGGGGAGGATATTTGGAGAGGGGAGGGGGGGGAGGGGAGGTATGTGGAGAGGGGGGGAGGAGGTAAGTTGGAGGGTGGGGAGGGGGATAGTTGGAGGGGGGGGGGAGGAGGGGGGTATGTTGGAGAGGTGGAGGAGGGAGGAGGGGGTTTTATAGTGGGAGGGGAGGGGGGAGGAGGGGGGTATTTGGAGGGTGGAGGAGGGGATAGTGGGAGGTGGAGGAGGGAGGGTTAAATTTTTTGGAGGGGTGGAGGAGGGGGTTTTGTGGAGAGGTGGGGGGGGGGAGGAGGAGGTTAGTTGGAGAGGTGGGAGGAGGGGGGAGGAGGTTATTTGGAAGGGGGGGAGGGGGTATGTTGGGAGGGGGAGGAGGGGGGTTGTTGGAGAGGTGGAGGAGGGAGGTTTAATTTGGAGAGGGGGGAGGAGGGAGGGAATTTTGGAGAGGTGGGAGGGGGGGGGAGGGGGTAAGTTGGAGAGGTGGGGGAGGGAGGAGGAGGATGTTGGAGAGGGGGGGAAGGAGGGGATAGTTGGAGGGGTGGAGGGGGGGAGGAGGGGATAGGGAGGGGTGGAGGAGGAGGTTAGTTGGAGAGGTGGGGGGGGAGGGGGAGGGGTATAGTTGGAGAGGTGGAGGGGAGGGGGAGGGGGGAAAAGGGGTATATTGGAGAGGTGGAGGGGGAGGTTAGTTGGAAGGGGGGGGAGGGGGGATAGTTGGAGAGGTGGAGGGGGGAGGAGGAGGTATAGTTGGAGAGGTGGAGGGGGAGGATTTTGGAGAGGTGGAGGAGGAGGTTTTAGTTGGGAGGGGGAGGGGGAGGGGGGAGGTATGGGTGGAGAGGGGAGGAGGAGGTTTTTGGAGAGGGGAGGAGGAGGCATAGTTGGAGGGGGGGAGGAGGGGAGGAGGGGATAGTTGGAGAGGTGGAGGAGGGGATTTGGAGAGGTGGAGGAGGAGGAGGGGTATAGTGGAGAGGTGGGGGGAGGTATATTTGGGAGGGGGGAGGGAGGAGGGGGGGTTAGTTGGAGGGGGAGGAGGGGTTTATTTGGAGAGGTGGGGGGGAGGGGAGGAGGATGGGGAGGGGTGGGGGGGGGAGGAGGGGTATTTGGAGAGGTGGGGGGGGAGGGGAGGAGGTATAGTTGGAGGGTGGGGGGGGGGGTATATTTGGGAGAGGGGGGGGGAGGAGGGGGTTTATATTGGAGAGGGGAGGAGGAGGTTATAGTTGGAGAGGTGGAGGAGGAGGTATAGTTGGAGAGGGGAGGAGGGAGGAGGAGGTATAGTTGGAGGGTGGGGGGGAGTTTTATTTGGAGAGGTGGGGGGGGGGGGATAGTTGGAGGGTGGGGGGGGAGGAGGAGGTTTTAGTTGGAGAGGTGGAGGAGGAGGCATAGTTGGAGAGGTGGAGGAGGGAGGAGGAGGTATAGTTGGAGAGGTGGAGGAGGGAGGTATAGTTGGAGAGGTGGAGGAGGGAGGAGGAGGGTATTTTTGGAGAGGTGGAGGAGGGGGGTATTTGGGGAGGGGGAGGGGAGGTTAGTTGGGAGGTGGAGGAGGAGGGGGGATATTTGGAGGGGGAGGGGGGAGGGGGGTATAGGGGAGGGGTGGAGGGGGGGTATAGGGGAGGGGGGGGAGGAGGGAGTATAGTTGGAGAGGTGGAGGAGGGGGGGGAGGGGTTAGTGGAAAAGGGGGGAGGAGGGGGTTAGTTGGAGGGGGGGTTGGGGAGGAAGGAGGAGTATATTTGGGGGGTTTGGAGGAGGGAGGGGAGGTATAGTGGGAGGGGGAGGAGGGAGGTTAGTGGAGAGGTGGAGGAGGAGGTATTTTGGGAGGGGGGAGGGGGGGGTATATTTGGAGAGGGGGGAGGGGGAGGGGAGGTAGTTGGAGAGGTGGGGAGGGGGGGAGGGGAGGTTTTAGTGGAGGGGGAGGAGGGGAGGGGGGAGGTATTTGGGGAGGGGGAGGGGAGGTAAGGTTGGAGGGGGAGGGGGAGGATAGTGGGGGGGGGGGGGAGGGAGGGGGGGTAAGTGGAGAGGTGGAGGAGGAGGAGGAGGATAGTTGGAGAGGTGGAGGGGGAGGAGGGGTATATTTGGGAAAGGGGTGGAGGGGGGAGGAGGGAGGTAGTTGGAGAGGTGGAGGAGGGGAGGGGGATAGGGGGAGGGGTGGGGGGAGGAGGAGGATAGGGGAGGTGGAGGAGGGAGGAGGAGGTTTTTGGGAGAGGGGGGAGGGGGGAGGCATTTTTGGGGAAGGTGGGGGAGGGAGGAGGAGGTAGTTGGGAGGGGGGGAAGGAGGAGGAGGAGGTATGGTTGGAGAGGGGAGGGGGGGAGGAAGGTATAGTGGAGAGGGGGAGGGGGACGGGGGAGGTAAGTGGAGGGTGGGGAGGAGGCAATTTGGGGGGGGGAGGAGGGGGGAGGGATAGTTGGAAGGGTGGAGGAGGAGGAGGAGGTAAGTTGGAAGGTGGAGGGGGGGGGGAGAGGATAGTTGGAAGGTGGAGGAGGGGGGAGGAGGTTAAGTTGGAGAGGTGGAGGAGGGGGTTTGGGGTTGGAGAGGTGGAGGAGGGGGTATATTTGGGGGGTGGAGGAGGGGGGGATATTTGGAAGGTGGAGGGGGAGGAGGGAGGTATAGTTGGAGAGGTGGAGGAGGGAGGAGGAGGTATAGTTGGAGAGGTGGAGGGGAGGTATAGTTGGAGGGGTGGGGAGGGAGGGAGGAGGATTTTTGGAGAGGGGGGGAGGGAGGGGAGGTATGGGGAGGGTGGAGGGGAGGTATATTTAGAGGGGGGAGGGAGGGAGGAGGGGTTTTTTGGAGAGGTGTAGGTAAGTTGGAGAGGGGAGGAGGGAAGGTTAGTGGAGAGGTGGAGGAGGGGGATAGTTAGAGAGGGGGAGGAGGGGGGAGGAGGTAGGGAGAGGTGGAGGGGGAGGATGTTGGAGAGGGGGGAGGGGTTTGTAGGTTGGAGAGGGGGAGGAGGGAGGTTTATTTGGGAAAGAGGGGGAGGGGGAGGATAGTTGGAGGGGGGGAGGAGGGAGGAGGGGGTATAGTTGGAGGGGGGGGAGGGAGGGGTATATTTGGGGGGGTGGAGGGGGGAGGAGGGGGTATGTTGGAGAGGGGAGGAGGGGGGGTATAGTTGGAGAGGTGGAGGAGGAGGTATAGTTGGAGAGGGGAGGAGGAGGTATAGTTGGAGAGGTGGAGGAGGAGGTATAGTTGGAGAGGTGGAGGAGGAGGTAAGTTGGAGGGGGAGGGGGAGGTTATTTGGAGAGGTGGAGGAGGGAGGGGGGGGTTTTGTTGGGGGAGGGGGGAGGGGGGAGGTTTATGTTGGAAGGGGGAGGAGGGGGGTTTATAGTTGGGGGGTGGAGGAGGGGGTTAGTTGGAGGGGTGGAGGGGAGGGGGGGGTTTTTATAGTGGAGGGGGGGGAGGAGGGGGGGAATTTGGAGAGGGGGAGGAGGGGGTATAGGGGAAAGGGGGGGGAGGAGGGGGGGGGGGGTATAGTTGGAGAGGGGGAGGAGGGAGGAGGAGGTATAGTTGGAGAGGTGGAGGAGGAGGTATAGTTGGAGAGGTGGAGGAGGGAGGAGGAGGTTTTTTGGGAGAGGTGGAGGTATAGTTTGGAGAGGTGGAGGAGGGAGGTATAGTTGGAGAGGGGGAGGGGGGGGTTATTTAAGAGGGGGAGGAGGGAGGGGGAGGTATAGTTGGAGGGGGGGAGGAGGTATAGTTGGAGAGGTGGAGGAGGGGGTAAGTTGGAAGGGGAGGGGGAGGGGGGGAGGATATTTGGGAGGTGGAGGGGGAGGGGGAGGTATAGTTGGAGAGGTGGAGGAGGGGGTATAGTTGGAGGGGGAGGAGGAGGTATAGTTGGAGAGGTGGAGGAGGGAGGGATATTTGGAGAGGGGAGGAGGGAGGGGGGGAGGTATGGGAGGGGTGGAGGAGGAGGATGGGAGAGGTGGGGAGGGGTATGTTGGAGAGGTGGAGGAGGGAGGTATAGTTGGAGAGGTGGAGGAGGAGGTATAGTTGGAGAGGTGGAGGAGGAGGTATAGTTGGAGGGGGGGAGGAGGAGGTATAGTTGGAGAGGTGGAGGAGGGGTATAGTTGGAGAGGTGGAGGGGGGGGTTAATTTGGAGAGGTGGGGGAGGGAGGGGGGGGTTTTATAGTGGGGCGGGGGAGGAGGGGATATTTGGAGAGGGGGGGGAGGGAGGTTAGTTGGAGAGGTGGAGGAGGGGGGGGTATAGTTGGAGAGGTGGGGGAGGGAGGGGGGGGGTAATTTGGAGAGGGGGGGAGGGGGGTTTAGTGGAGAGGGGGGGAGGGAGGTATGTGGAGAGGGGGGGGGAGGGAGGGGGGGGGGGGTTAAAATTTGGGAGGGGAGGAGGGAGGAGGGGGTTTTTATAGTTGGAGAGGGGGGAGGAGGGGGTTTTTTAGTTGGAGAGGTGGAGGAGGGAGGAGGAGGTATAGTTGGAGAGGGGGGGTATGGGAGAGGTGGAGGAGGGGGGTTTAAGTTGGAGAGGTGGGGGAGGAGGTATAGTTAGAGGGTGGAGGAGGGGAGGGGGTATGTTGGAAGGGGAGGAGGAGGATGTTGGAGAGGTGGAGAGGGGGGGTATATTTGGAGAGGTGGAGGGGGGGGTTTATAGTTGGAGAGGGGAGGGGGGGGAGGAGGTATAGTTGGAAGAGGGGGGGAGGAGGTTGGTGGAGGGGTGGGGGGGGGATATTTGGGGAGAGGTGGGGAGGGAGGGATAGTGGGAGGGGGGAGGGGGGGAGGAGGAGGTATAGTTGGAGAGGGGGAGGAGGGAGGGGATAGGGGGAGGGGGGGGAGGAGGTATGTTGGAGAGGTGGGGGGGGAAGGTTAGGGGAGGGGGAGGAGGGGGGAAAGTTGGGAGGGGGGTATATTTGGAGAGGGGAGGAGGGAGGAGGGGGTTTATGTTGGGGGGTGGAGGGGGGAGGTATTTATTTGGAGAGGGGGGGAGGAGGGAGGGGAGGTTATTTGGGAGGTGGGGGGGAGGGGTAGGTTGGAGGGTGGAGGAGGGGGTTTAAGTTGGAGAGGTGGGGGGAGGTTGGGAGAGGGGAGGAGGGAGGAGGAGGTATAGTTGGAGAGGGGAGGAGGGAGGAGGGGGTATAGTTGGAGAGGTGGAGGAGGGGGGTTTTTTGGGAGAGGGGGAGGGGGAGGAGGGGTAGTTGGGAGGGGAGGAGGAGGTTTTAAGTTGGAGAGGTGGAGGAGGAGGTATAGTTGGAGAGGTGGAGGAGGGAGGGGGAGGTTTTGGAGGGTGGAGGGGGGGAGGGGTATATTGGAGAGGTGGAGGGGGAGGAGGAGGTAAGGTGGAGAGGTGGAGGAGGGAGGTTATTTGGAAGGGGAGGAGGGGGGGGTTATTTGGAGAGGTGGGGAAAGGAAGGGATATTTGGAGAGGGGAGGGGGGGAGGTATATTTGGAGAGGTGGAGGGGGGTTTAGTTGGAGAGGGGGAGGAGGGGGGTATTTGGAGAGGGGGGGGAGGGGGTAATTTGGAGAGGGGAGGAGGAAGGTAAGTGAAAAACCACGGGAGTGGAGAGAGGAGGAGGATATTTGGGAGGTGGAGGAGGGGGTAGTTGGGGGGGGGAGGGGGGGGTTATTGGAGAGGGGAGGAGGAGGTATGGGAGAGGGGAGGAGGAGGTTATTTGGAGAGGTGGAGGAGGGACGGTATATGTTGGAACGAGGTGGAGGGAAGGAAGGTATAGTTGCGAGACGGTGGAGGAGGGGGGAACGTTAGCTTTATAGTTGGAGAGGTGGAGGAGGGAGGTATAGTTGGAGAGGTGGAGGAGGAAGGTATAGTGAAACACTCACGGGATGTTGGAGAGATGGAGGGTTGCAGAGGGAGGGAAGATGTTCTGGAAGTTCTTGGATCCAGGCTTCTTGAAGCGGTGTAACGGGGAACCACTGAAGTCTTTCGTGAGGCCCTGGTCTTCTTGTCCCTCCCTGGGCAGCTGGACCGCCTGGTGCTTAGAGATGGTCACTCTGATCACCTTACGTGTAAGCCGCTGGCCGTTCAGGTGGGACATAGCTGGGGGAGGAGAGGAGAAGAGTCAGACACGGTACAGACTGATGGACAATATTAATTATAATAAAATAATAATATATTTTATTTGGCGGACACCTTTCAGGGCACTCAAGGACATCTGACATTAACAGGAGGCCTACATAAAAGCCAGTGTAGTACATAAGATCATTAAATCAACTCTAGTACATAAGATCATTAAATCAACTCTAGTACATAAGATCATTAAATCAACTCTAGTACATAAGATCATTAAATCAACTCTAGTACATAAGATCATTAAATCAACTCTAGTACATAAGATCATTAAATCAACTCTAGTACATAAGATCATTAAATCAACTCTAGTACATAAGATCATTAAATCAACTCTAGTGCATAAGATCATTAAATCAAGTGCGTCAATCAAAGTAACATTTTAAATCAAAGGACCAGACGAAACAGGATGGCTAAAAAGAGGAGGGAGGGGTTGGGTATAGGATATGGACCCGGTTTAGGGTAGCGGTAAGGGTGTGGGTTGGGGATACTGAGATTGAGAGTGTCTAAATGTTGTAAGTGTGTGGGGGGGGGGGGGGGGGGGGGGGGGGGGGGTGCATTCCAGCCTGGGGGGCAGAGCACCTGAAGACCCAGGCACCCATGGTGGAGAGGGAGGGAGGGAGGGGAGAAGGAGACCAGCGGAGGGGGGGGCAGGGGGCATAGGCTGGGAGAAGGTCAGAGAGGTTGGTGGTTGTCAGGTTGTGGAGGGCTTTGTGGGTAAGGAGGAGTGGTCCTCTGTAGCTCAGCTGGTAGAGCACGGCGCTTGTAACGCCAAGGTAGTGGGTTCGATCCCCGGGACCACCCATACACAAAAATGTATGCACGCATGACTGTAAGTCGCTTTGGATAAAAGCGTCTGCTAAATGGCATATTATTAATACAGGATTGCACAGGGAGCCAGCGATGCGGATTGGTGTGATGTGTTCGGTTGATCTGGTGCGGGTGAGGATTCTGGCAGCAGAGTTCTGGACCAGTTCAAGTCTGTTGGTGAGTTTGGTGGGGATACCAGTGAGGATATTGCTGTAATAGTCCAAACCGGAAGGGACATGGATGAGTGTGCTGGAGTGTGACAGTGAGGGGGCGGAGCCTGGAGATATTGCAGAGGTGAAAGAATGCTGTCCTGGTGATGGTTTTTATGTGGGGTTGAATGAGAGGGAACGGTCCAGGATGACAGAAGGCTTTTGACTTGTGTTGACAGAGGGACCGGGAAACCATCTATGGTGATGCTGAGGTTGTGCTGATTGGAGACAGTGGATTTGGAGCCGATGAGCATGACATCTGTCTTGTTGCTGTTAAGGTTGAGGAGGTTCATGTTCATCCAGCTCCGGATGTCCTTAAGGCAGCTGATGAGGGAGGTGGGAGGGAGGGGAGTGGTGGGTTTGGTAGAGAGGTAGAGCTGGGTGTCATCAGCATCGCAGTGGAAGTGAACTTTGTGATGTCACATGATCTTTCCCAGGGGTAGAAGTTATATGATGAAGAGGAGTGGACCCTACACTGACCCCTGGGGGGACACCCTGTGAGACAGCCGCACACCCTGATCTGTGATTTTTCAGTTGAACAAACTGTTTGACGGTCAGTGAGGTAGGAGGAAAACCAGGAGTGTGCAACACCCGTGACAACAACACCAGCCAGACGTTCCATGAGGAGTGGATGAGGAGTTGGTATGGAAGGCTGCAATCAGGTGGAGGAGGATGGATAGCAGCCCTGAGTCAGCTGCATCTCATAAAGATGCTCTTACGAAGGTTCTAACGATGAACTTATCCTTAAAGATGCTTTTGGGAAACCGAGCCCTGGGCTGTTTCAGTGCTGTGTGGAGGAGGTTGTTGGTGATTTTGACCAGGGCCGTTTCAGAGCGGAAACCGGACTGCAATGGTTCATGAAGGTTATTGGAGTTGAGATGGTGTTTTAGTTGAGGGCCACAACCCGCTCCAGGTTATTGGAGTTGAGATGGTGTTTTAGTCGAGGGCCACAACCCGCTCCAGGTTATTGGAGTTGAGATGGTGTTTTAGTCGAGGGCCACAACCCGCTCCAGGTTATTGGAGTTGAGATGGTGTTTTAGTCGAGGGCCACAACCCGCTCCAGGTTATTGGAGTTGAGATGGTGTTTTAGTTGAGGGCCAAAACCCGCTCCAGTATTTTGGAGAGGAAGGGAAGGTTTGAGATGGGACAGAAGTTGTTCAGGTCATCGGGGTCAGCATTCGGCTTTTTGAGGATGGGGTAAACTGCAGCAATCTTGAGAGAGAGGAGGATACGATGCCAGGGGCGAGGGAGGAGTTGATTATGCCAGTGAGGAGGGGAGAGATGGCAGGCTTTGACAAGGCTGGTGGGCAGGGGGGTCAAGTTGGCAGGTGGATGATTTGCTTTGATTGAGTTCTCAGTAGCGAGGGTGAAGTCAGAGAGAGCGAGTGGTGTAGGCTGGGCCTTCCCATGTGTTCATCCATGAGAGATTGTCGTCAGGAGTACTGGGCATTGTAAGTAGATGTTGGTGGATGTCGTGGATTTTGGCGTGGAAGAAGTTCAAGAACTTGTTGAACTGTTCGGGGGAAGTTGTCAGGAGGCTGAAATAGGCGTTTCACTGTGGAAAAAACAGTGCTGTGTCCAGGGGCTGGCCCAGTGTGGCCACCCCCCCCGAAATGTGATTGGCCACCCCAGTGCCCCCCCCCCCCCCCCACCCCCACAATTCTGAGATCTGATCTGTCGTATCTGAATATATTGATCATTTTGACCAAGACGTGCACCGACGCTAAGACTCATCAATCTCACCGGAGAAAGCATCTGAGCGAGCCGAAACAGCACCCCAGCTGCCTTAGTATGTTTGGCCCATGGGTCTGGTGCTGTCAAGAAGAGTATGGCAGGTCATATTCCCTTTGGCCAGACAGGACAGCAGCAGATATACGGCTACAGATACTACAACAGAGAGGCGCTGTTTGCCTCGCTCGGATTCTTCATCTGGTGAAAGAGATTCAGCCTCTTGCGAATCGAAGGAAAATTATGAATGAGAAATAATTTTTAAAGTTAGTTTCTCTTTTTATTCTTAAAATGTTTGACCAGGGAAGAGGAATTTGGGGTTATTTTTTTACCAGAGCTGATGATGTCGGAGTGGTAGGATGCAACTAGTGAACTACAGTGCCTTCTGAAAGTTTTCAAACCCCTTGACCTTTTCCACATTTTTGTTGTGTTACAGCCTGGATTTAAAATTTATTAAATTTAGATTTTGTGTCACTGGCCTACACACAAAACCCCATAATGTCAAAGTGGAATTATGTTTTTTTGAAATGTTTACAAATTAATAAAAAATGAAAAGCTGACATGTCTTGAAATGTCTTGAGACAGTAACTATTCAACCCCTAAATAAGTTCAGGAGTAAAAACGGTAGGATCTGTTGGCTCAGTATTACAACGGTAGGATCTGTTCTCTCACCAAGCTGTGCCTGAGTAGCATCGGCCATCTGGATTAAGGCATTCTCTTTCTTGTTGAACAGAATTTGACCGATGCACATCACCATAACCCTAGAGAGAGAGAGAGAGAGAGGAGAGAGAAGGGAAGAGGGAAAGAAATACAAGACGTCGATAGAGACACGAAGAATGAACGTCATCCGATGGCGAGCGAGGAGAAGGGAAACGACCCGAGCGAGAGAGAGATGACAAGAGAGAGCACGATGCATCGATAGAGCTTCCCGAGCAACGCGGGAACAGAGTACCGAGAAGATCCGGGAGTAGACTACCCCAGCACCATCATTCTCCGGAACGCCCTAACACCTTCCTGAAGAGATTCGCCAGACCGGACCATTGACGGTGCTTAAGGAGGCATAGCCAGTTTACGCCCAGGCCACAGTACCCATTGACCCGTATTGACGAGAGGAGGACAGAGGGTAGACCCTCCGAGAGTCCAGAATGGAGGAGACGAAGAGACGAGGGACCAGAAGACGAGTGAAGAGATGAGAGCTCAGACGAACGATGGCAGAGAGAAGAGGAGAGATACCTAGTGTTGACAGAAATGGAGAGACAGAGAGACCAGACGTAACACCCGAGCAGTAGAAGAGCTACCGCACGAGAGCAGACGGAGAGAGAGGAGCCAGAAAAGCAAGAGCCCCGAGACAGAAGAGAGGCAGACACCTGCGAAGATTGCCCCGGCCAGCACATCCCCTGAGAAGGGATAAGGGCCAAGCGGACATCACCACTGCCCGACAACAGACCCACACTATAGTGCACATAGTGAAGCAACCCCTACCCGATCGAGAAGAGGCCTGGAGAGGCCAGGAGAGAGAGAAGACGCCCATGTTGGGATCACCTCCTGACGGGGAGAAGAGAGGACAAAGAGAGAGACTGGAAGATGAGACGACTAGAGAGAGAGAGAGAGAGGGGAAAGGGAAGGGAAGGAGAGGTGTGGAATACTTACATTATTTCAATTCAATTCAAAGGGGCTTTATTGGCATGGGAAACATGTTTACATTGCCAAAGCAAGATTATTTCTCTGCATTGTACAATGCAGAGTGTTACAGGGAGATAGAGGGATCGAGGGGTTGACGAACAGATGTCAGTCTCTAAACAGAGATGACAGGAAGTATACTTCATTTTATTTGTCACATGCGCCGAATACAACAGGTGTAGACCTTACCGTGAAATGCTTACTTACAAGCCCTTAACCAACAATGCCATTTTAATTTTTAAAAGTGTTAAGTAAAACATAGATAAGTAAAAAAAAATTAATAAAACATTATTAAAGAGCAGCAGTAAAATTAAATAACAGTCGAGAGGCTATATACAGGGGGTACCGGTACAGAGTCAATGTGCGGGGGCACAGGTTAGTCGAGGTAATTGAGGTAATATGTACATGTAGGTAGAGTTAAATCAGCCAATCACATATAGCATAAAAGTCACAGTAACCATGGTAGCCACACACACACACACAAAGCTATGCAGTGAATGACAACCAAACCCATTCCTAAATGGCCTTACCAAATAGGATGAACAGTCCATGTGGTGATATGCTCTGCAGGGAGGAGAAAGAGGAAGTCAGACAACTGGTCAAGTGAAGGCAATACTGGTGGTGTGGTGATACACTTTGTTCTCTAATGAAATCAACCAAGTTCCTTCTCTTTCCATCATCATCATCATCATCATCATCATCATCATCACACACAGCCAGCAGTGGCCCAGCCAGCCAGCCAACAGTGGCACAGCCAGCCAGCCAACAGTGGCCCAGCCAGCCAACAGTGGCCCAGCCAGCCAGACAACAGTGGCCCAGCCAGCCAGCCAGCCAGCCAACAGTGGCCCAGCCAGACAGCCAGCCAGCCAACAGTGGCCCAGCCAGCCAGCCAACAGTGGCCCAGCCAGCCAGACAGCCAGCCAACAGTGGCCCAGCCAGCCGTGGCCCAGCCAGCCAGACAGCAGTGGCCCAGCCAGCCAGCCAGCCAACCAGCAAGCCAGCCAGCCAGCCTGCCAACAGCCAGCCAGTCAACCAGCCAGACATTTAGTTATCTAGAATGTATCACTTTTCACCAGGTCAGTAACATTTAGTTATCTAGAATGGATCACTTTTCACCAAGTCAGTAACATTTAGTTATTTATTTTATTATTATTATTATTTATTTTTTGGTCATTTAGCAGACGCTCTTATCCAGAGCGACTTACAGGAGCAATTAGGGTTAAGTGCCTTGCTCAAGGGCACATCGACAGATTTTTCACCTAGTCGGCTCGGGGATTAGAACCAGCAACCTTTCGGTTACTGGCACAACGCTCTTACCCACTAAGCTACCTGCCGCCCTATCTAGAATGTATCACTTTTCACCAGGTCAGTAACATTTAGGTATCTAGAATGTATCACTTTTCACCAGGTCAGTAACATTTAGTTATCTAGAAAGTATCACTTTTCACCAGGTCAGTAACATTTAGTTATCTAGAAAGTATCACTTCTCACCAGGTCAGTAACATTTAGTTATCTAGAAAGTATCACTTCTCACCAGGTCAGTAACATTTAGTTATCTAGAAAGTATCACTTCTCACCGGGTCAGTAACATTTAGTTATCTAGAAAGTATCACTTCTCACCGGGTCAGTAACATTTAGTTATCTAGAAAGTATCACTTCTCACCGGGTCAGTAACATTTAGTTATCTAGAAAGTATCACTTCTCACCAGGTCAGTAACATTTAGTTATCTAGAAAGTATCACTTTTCACCAGGTCAGTAACATTTAGTTATCTAGAAAGTATCACTTCTCACCAGGTCAGTAACATTTAGTTATCTAGAAAGTATCACTTCTCACCAGGTCAGTAACATTTAGTTATCTAGAAAGTATCACTTCTCACCGGGTCAGTAACATTTAGTTATCTAGAAAGTATCACTTCTCACCAGGTCAGTAACATTTAGTTATCTAGAAAGTATCACTTCTCACCAGGTCAGTAACATTTAGTTATCTAGAAAGTATCACTTCTCACCGGGTCAGTAACATTTAGTTATCTAGAAAGTATCACTTCTCACCGGGTCAGTAACATTTAGTTATCTAGAAAGTATCACTTCTCACCAGGTCAGTAACATTTAGTTATCTAGAAAGTATCACTTCTCACCAGGTCAGTAACATTTAGTTATCTAGAAAAGTATCACTTTTCACCGGGTCAGTAACATTTAGTTATCTAGAAAGTATCACTTCTCACCGGGTCAGTAACATTTAGTTATCTAGAAAGTATCACTTCTCACCAGGTCAGTAACATTTAGTTATCTAGAATGTATCACTTTTCACCGGGTCAGTAACATTTAGTTATCTAGAATGTATCACTTCTCACCAGGTCAGTAACATTTAGTTATCTAGAATGATTGGTATTTTACAGTGCCTTGCAAAAGTATTCATCCCCGTTGGTGTTTTTCCTATTTTGTTGCATTACAACCTGTAATTTAAATGAATTTTTATTTGGATTTCACGTAATGGACATACACAAAATAGTCCAAATTGGTGAAGTGAAATGAAAAAAAGAACTTGTTTCAAAAAATGCAAAAAAATAAATAACAGAAAAGTGGTGCGTGCATATGTATTCACCCCCTTTGCAATGAAGCCCCTAATATGATCTGGTGCAACCAATTACCTTCAGAAGTAACATAATTAGTTAAATAAAGTCCACCTGTGTGCAATCTAAGTGTCACATGATCTGTCACATGATCTCAGTATATGTACACCTGTTCTGAAAGGCCCCAGAGTCTGCAACACCACTAAGCAGGGAGCACCACCAAGCAAGCGGCACCATGAAGACCAAGGAGCTCTCCAAACAGGTCAGGGACAAAGTTGTGGAGAAGTACAGATCAGGGTTGGGTTATAAAAAAATATCTGAAACTTTGAACATCCCACGGAGCACCATTAAATCATTATAAAAAAATTGAAAGAATATGGCACCACAACAAACCTGCCAAGACCAAAACTCACGGACCAGGCAAGGAGGGCATTAATCAGAGAGGCAACAAAGAGACCAAAGATAACCCTGAAGGAGCTGCAAAGCTCCACAGCGGAGATTGGAGTATCTGTCCACAGGACCACTTTAAGCCGTCCACTCCACAGAGCTGGGCTTTACGGAAGAGTGGCCAGAAAAAAGCCATTGCTTAAAGATAAAAATAAGCAAACACGTTTGGTGTTCACCAAAAGGCATGTGGGAGACTCCCCAAACATATGGAAGAAGGTACTCTGGTCAGATGAGACTACAATTTAGCTTTTTGGCCATCAAAAAGGTGGCAGCATCATGCTGTGGGGATGTTTTTCATCGGCAGGGACTTGGAAACTGGTCAGAATTGAAGGAATGATGGATGGCGCTAAATACAGGGAAAGTCTTGAGGGAAACCTGTTTCAGTCTTCCAGAGATTTGAGACTGGGACGAAGGTTCACCTTCCAGCAGGACAATGACCCTAAGCATACTGCTAAAGCAACACTTGAGTGGTTTAAGGGGAAATTTAATTGTCTTGGAATGGCCTAGTCAAAGCCCGGACCTCAATCCAATTGAGAATCTGTGGTATGACTTAAAGATTGCTGTACACCAGCGGAACCCATCCAACTTGAAGGAGCTGGAGCAGTTTTGCCTTGAAGAATGGGCAAAAATCCCAGTGGCTAGATGTGCCAAGCTTATAGAGACATACCCCCAAGAGACTTGCAGCTGTAATTGCTACAAAAGGTGGCTCTACAAAGTATTGACTTTGGGGGGGGGTGAATAGTTATGCACGCTCAAGTTTTCAGTTTTTTGTATTATTTCTTGTTTGTTTCATAATAAAACATATTTTGCGTCTTCAAAGTGGTAGAAATGTTGTGTAAATCAAATGATACAAACCCCCCAAAAATCCATTTTAATTCCAGGTTGTAAGGCAACAAAATAGGAAAAATGCCAAGGGGGGTGAATACTTTCGGAAGCCACAGTATGTCTGTATTGGGTGGGTTGGTGTGTGGCATGTTCTGAGAGTTTTGCCTGGTCCCAGATCTGTTTGTGCTATCATGTCAACTCTTTGTCACTCATTGTAATGCCAAATGTTTAGCTTGACATTGAGCAATGGCGTTGGCAAGAGCACAAACAATAAAGAGGAGTTGAGGGGGTCACAGGGGGGTCGGAGGGTCACAGGGGGGTCGGGGGTCACTCACATCAGGGTTGAGGTTGGAGACAAGGAGAACGGAGTGAACAGCGATGGGCGCCATGCCGTGTAGGGTCATCCGTCCCGAGACTGAGCCTGGCATGGCGAGGGGTCCCAGAGCGCCGGTCATCGTGTGCATGGACAGACCTGGGGGCACGCACGATAGCAGGTCAAAGGGCGGGCCTACTAGAGGAGGGAGGAGGGCCCAGGGTCAGTAGGAGTAGTGGAGGAGGGAGGGGAGGGGGGAGGGGAGGGGGGAGGGTCAGTAGGAGGAGGGGAGGGGGGAGGGGAGGGGGGAGGGTCAGTAGGAGGAGTGGAGGAGAGAGGGGAGGGGAGGGGAGGGGAGGGGAGGGGAGGGGAGGGGAGGGGAGGGGAGGGGAGGGGAGGGGAGGGGGGAGGGTCAGTAGGAGGAATGGAGGGGGGAGGGGAGGGGAGGTGGGAGGGGAGGGGAGGGGGGGGGGGAGGGGGGGAGGGGAGGGGAGGGGAGGTGGGAGGGGAGGGCCCAGGGTTAGTAGGAGGAGTGGAGGAGAGAGGGGAGGGGGGAGGGCCCAGGGTCAGTAGGAGGAGTGGAGGAGATGGGGCTGGAAGAGGGTGATAGTGGGGTGGAACCTACCTGTATAGGGGGTATGAGGCTGGAGGAGGGTGATAGTGGGGTGGAACCTACCTGCTTGGGGGAATCCGATAGCGGGGCCAAAACCTGCTGCCCCAGCGTAAGGCGAAGAGATGATACCTGGAGCACCTGGAAACACAATCAATCAAATTACATCCAGCAGTTGTCACAAAGTGCTTAACAGTAACTTGCCCTAGACCCCAAAGGGCAAACAAAGCAGCAGTGGTGGAGAAAGTACCCAACTGTCATACTTGAGTAAAAGTAAAGATACCTTAATAGAAAATGACTCAAGTAAAAGTGAAAGTCACCCAGTAAAATGCTACTTGAGTTAAAGTCTAAAAGTATTTGGTTTTAAATATACTGAAGTATCAAAAGTAAAAGTAAAAGTATAAATCATTTCACATTCCTTATATTAAGCAAAACCAGACAGCACCAATTTACAGATAGCCAGGGGCACACTCCAGCACTCAGACATCATTTACAGATAGCCAGTGGCACACTCCAACACTCAGACATAATTTACAGATAGCCAGGGGCACACTCCAACACTCAGACATAATTTACAGATAGCCAGGGGCACACTCCAACACTCAGACATAATTTACAAATGAACCACGTGTGTTTAGTGAGTCCGCCAGATCAGAGGCAGTAAGGATGACCAGGGATGTTCTCTTGATAAGTGTGTGAATTGGACCCTTGTCCTGTCGTCCTGCTAAACATTCAAAATGTAACGAGTACTTTTGGGTGTCAGGGAAAATGCATGGAGTAAAAAAGTACATCATTTTATTTAGGAATGTAGTGAAGTAAAAGTAATGCGGGACCGAGGTATATTTCAAAAGTATATAATAGTAAGGAAAAAAGTCACATCTTAAGCCAGTACTCTTAAAATATGTTTTACTTAAGTACTTTAAACCACTGTAAAGCAGAAGTGAAAGCACAGTGGAACAACTCCCGAGAACACACAGAGACATGTGATCACTAGCAGAGACATACCATCCACAACATTACATTTACATTCTACATTTACGTCATTTAGCAGACGCTCTTATTACAGAACGTTCAAAGAAAACATTTCAAATTCAAGCCCCCTACAAACAGTAGGCTCTTCCATATGATACGCGTTAGCTCACAAAGCAATCCCAAAAGGGGACATTGCTTTTCAATTGGGCTGCCAATACAGGAAATGGCAGGAAATGGGGGTTGTTGGGCTGCCAAAACAGGAAATGGGGGTTGTTGGGCTGCCAATACAGGAAATGGGGGTTGTTTGGCTGCCAATACAGGAAATGGGGGTTGTTTGTGCTGCCAATACAGGAAATGGGGGTTGTTGGGCTGCCAATACAGGAAAGGGGGTTGTTTGGCTGCCAATACAGGAAATGGGGGTTGTTTGCCTGCCAATACAGGAAATGGGGGTTGTTGGGCTGCCAATACAGGAAATGGGGGTTGTTTGGCTGCCAATACAGGAAATGGGGGTTGTTAGGCTGCCAATACAGGAAATGGGGGTTGTTAGGCTGCCAATACAGGAAATGGGGGTTGTTTGGCTGCCAATAAGGTGGCTGACCAATACAGGAAATGGGGGTTGTTAGGCTGCCAATACAGGAAATGGGGGTTGTTAGGCTGCCAATACAGGAAATGAAATGTTGGAAGGTTTACAGTTCATTAAAGAAGAATGTTCGTAAACTTAATCCCTACAAGCATTTCTTCCTGCCAGACAGGAGACCCAAATGGGACTCTATTCCCTAAATAGTGCACTATATAGGGCATAAGGTGTGATTTGGGACTCTATTCCCTAAATAGTGCACTATATAGGGCATAAGGTGTGATTTGGGACGCAACCAGTCTCTTCTCTTGTTACACTACAGAACCAATCCGTTTCGTGACAGCAGAGAGCTAGGTGTCTCAAACAACAACACATGATGAGGGTTGGTTCAACCTGGGCTCTATTTGCTATTTAGTGCACTTTTAGCCAAGGCCAATTTATAAAGAAAAACAAGGTTTTAAATGAAATATTAGCTTTTGTCCTTAATTTGACCTTATGCACTAACAAGGCTTTTCAGCATAAGCAGCTTGACTACTGCTAGAGTACTGTATTAGAGGTGTGCAAGTAGTCTGACAAAACGAGTATTGTAAGGGGCAAATTTCTGGATACGATTGTGATCCGAGTATTTTTTGTAATTATCCGTGATCTAAAAATATATATAATTTCCGCATCTTTCTCATGTCAGTCAGTCATGTGTGAGGTTCTACGTGGTCTAAACTCCACTGGCTAGTTTGCTGGCTGTACGTTGATCCTGCTGCTCTGATTGGATAGAGTGAAGCTACATTTCTCTCCACCCGATGGCTTTTCCTCTAATGTTTTCGGTCATTTATATCGCTGCGGCCTACTGCTGTGATAAATGACATGGACGTTCACTATCAATGGGCATAATATCTAACACGCGGGGCAACGGAGGGGAACAAGATGAAACGCTGATGCACAATCTGACTGAGTGACAAACCGCTACAAGTTGAGGAACACACACACACACACACACACACACACACACACACACACACACACACACACACACACACACACACACACACACACACACACACACACAGACACACACACACACACACACACACACACACACACACACACAGACACACACACACACCCCTTTTTTGAATTTCCTGTCTTTTTCGGCTTCAAACAAAAGCTAATATTTAACTTTAAAACTTCGTTTTTTGTATTCATTTCCAGAGTTTTTCCCGGATGGTTTGATAATAGCACATATCTTGCCACCAAACAGTATTACTGTGCATTATAACTACACTGCTCAAAAAAATAAAGGGAACACTTAAACAACACAATGTAACTCCAAGTCAATCACACTTCTGTGAAATCAAACTGTCCACTTAGGAAGCAACACTGATTGACAATACATTTCACATGCTGTTGTGCAAATGGGATAGACAACAGGTGGAAATTATAGGCAATTAGCAAGACACCCCCAATAAAGGAGTGGTTCTGCAGGTGGTGACCACAGACCACTTCTCAGTTACTATGCTTCCTGGCTGATGTTTTGGTCACTTTTGAATGCTGGCGGTGCTTTCACTCTAGTGGTAGCATGAGACGGAGTCTACAACCCACACAAGTGGCTCAGGTAGTGCAGCTCATCCAGGATGGCACATCAATGCGAGCTGTGGCAAGAAGGTTTGCTGTGTCTGTCAGCGTAGTGTCCAGAGCATGGAGGCGCTACCAGGAGACAGGCCAGTACATCATGAGACGTGGAGGAGGCCGTAGGAGGGCAACAACCCAGCAGCAGGACCGCTACCTCCGCCTTTGTGCAAGGAGGAGCAGGAGGAGCACTGCCAGAGCCCTGCAAAATGACCTCCAGCAGGCCACAAATGTGCATGTGTCTGCTCAAACGGTCAGAAACAGACAACCATGAGGGTGGTATATGAGGGCCTGACGTCCACAGGTGGGGGTTGTGCTTACAGCCCAACACCGTGCAGGACGTTTGGCATTTGCCAGAGAACACCAAGATTGGCAAATTCGCCACTGGCGCCCTGTGCTCTTCACAGATGAAAGCAGGTTCACATGAGCACATGTGACAGACGTGACAGAGTCTGGAGACGCCGTGGAGAAAATTCTGTGCCTGCAACATCCTCCAGCATGACCAGGTTGGCGGTGGGTCAGTCATGGTGTGGGGTGCATTCTTTGGGGGCCGCAAGCCTCCAGTGCTAGCCAGAGGTAGCCTGACTGCCATTAGGTACCGAGATGAGATCCTCAGACCCCTTGTGAGGTTGCCCTGGGTTCCTCCTATGCAAGACAATGCTAGACCTCATGTGCTGGAGTGTGTCAGCAGTTCCTGCAAGAGGAAGCATGATGCTATGGACTGGCCTGCCTGTTCCCCAGACCTGAATCCAATTGAGCACATCTGGGACATCATGTCTCGCTCCATCCACCAATGCCACGTGGCACCACAGACTGTCCAGGAGTTGGCGGATGCTTTAGTCCAGGTCTGGGAGGAGATCCCTCAGGAGACCATCCGCCACCTCATCAGGAGCATGCCCAGGCATTGTAGGGAGGTCATACAGGCACGTGGAGGCCACACACACACTACTGAGCCTCATTTTGACTTGTTTTAAGGACATTACATCAAAGTTGGATCAGCCTGTAGTGTGGTTTTCCACTTTAATTTTGAGGGTGACTCCAAATCCAGACCTCCATGGGTTGATAAATTTGATTTCCATTGATAATTTTTGTGTGATTTTGTTGTCAGCACATTCAACTATGTAAAGAAAAAAGTATTTAATAAGATTATTTCATTCATTCAGATCTAGGATGTGTTATTTTAGTGTTCCCTTTATTTTTTGGAGCAGTGTATATATGTTTACATGACGTATTTGATTGATTTCCATTTTATAAGTCAGAAGACAGCCATCCAGACCTTCCTAGGACCATGTAAAGGTCCTCTGTCGAATAAACGTGTATTTGCCTCCCTCTGGTGGTCGGCTGCAACATTACATCCATTTATGTCACTTCACTGCAACGTTACCTCAAAGGGGCAGTCCTTAGAATACCATTTACCCAGCTCGACTGCTACGCGGCACAGACGTGGCCATTATCTTGTCAGAGGAGCTTGCTTTGATGTTGCTGATAATGTGTTTTCTTGTATGCCGAATAAGCCAGATATTGTTGTTGTGGGAGGAGGCCAGAGGGAGGTGCTGAGTTTGACTGCTACATGGAGCAGGCCTTTTCTATAAAGCTGCTTAAATACCTGCCCCTCGCGTCACGCTTGGACAGCCTCGGATATCAGTGCAGGCTTTGCTATTGGGAAGTATGGGCCATGTCTACAGGCTGACAGTACCTAGCCTTCAGATAACAGGCTGACAGTACCTAGCCTTCAGATAACAGGCTGACAGTACCTAGCCTTCAGATAACAGGCTGACAGTACCTAGCCTTCAGATAGCAGTCTGGGCCATGTTCACAAAACCTACTCCCCATAAGGAGACTAAAAAGATTTGGCATGGGTCCTCAGATCCTCAAAAGGTTATACAGCTGCACCATCGAGAGCATCCTGACTGGTTGCATCACCGCCTGGTATGGCAAACTGCTCGGCCTCCGACCACAAGGCACTACA